TATGTGAGGCTTTTAGAAAGAGGATGTTTTTAAAGGGGGATGTGCTAAAATAAAACAACCCCAACAATATACTCTAAAGTGCCACAACTCAAACGGAGTGCCAGTCACTCTGGGTTTCAATAGCACTTTGCTTCTTCCTCTTAGCACACTCCTAGGAGCACAGTGTCTCTGCCAGTTACCAGTTCCCTGTGGGCACAAACCAGGTCCTGTTCATCCTTTCTGCAAAACTGATTTCTCTAACTCTGTAAACTTAGTCAAAAGCTCATGGCTGGGAGGCTCATAGACCCTGGCGAGGAAGCTACTGCTATTGCTTTGTGAAATAAACAAGATGTCTTGTCACATCACTTCCTAAGTAACTATATAACACCCACGTATCACTGCTGCTGTCCCCTATGACCAAAGAAACTCCTTTTTGCAGTGGTCAGCTCTGACTACAGAAACTCAGAACAAGCCAAAGTGCTGAAAATAAACAACTACTGGATGCCCAGTCATAAATGGGAAATTATATGACCCTCCAAGGCTTAAGGAACATCATAGGAGAAAGGATGGAAAGGATGTATTCGGCAGAAGAAAGATGAGGACACCTGTGGAATGTTGGCTTCCAGGCATGACATGGCTGTGCACTCCTGAAATCACAGAAGCTGTGGTTACCTGTACAAGACCAGGCCTGTCCATGCTCGGTCATAGAAACCACACACCATCACCTCACCCCAGACCCCTACCTTAAAGACTTATATACGTCTGTGGATGGAAAAAAGAGAGACATTTTCTTCATTAATATAGCCACTAGTAAGGTATTCATGCTCCTGTAAATAAATTCTCATCCATGTTCCTGTAAGCTACTCTTAGGAAACTCATTGGGTCACAAATATACACACACACCCTGAAAACAGAGTGGGGACAGTAGAGAAAACATGAATAGGAGGGTGATGATCCAGGTAATGGGTAGGGAGGAGTGAATATGAGCGAAAAATATGACATACACGAATAAAAATATCATAATAAAACCACTGTTATGGCCAGGTGTGGTGATGCATGCCTTTAATCCCAGCACTCAAGAGGCAGAGGCCTGTGAGTTCAAGAACAGCCTGGTCTACATAGTGAGTTCCAGAACAGCCAGGGTTATATAGAGAAATCCCGTCTCAAAAACAAAAACAAACAGAGCAAAACAAAAAATACTGTTATGTATAATTAACATACACTAACAAAAACATTAAGAAATTGTTTTCCTACCAATTTTAAATAAGCGAAGCATCAATAGGTCATATTATATAATAGTAATTTGTTCATTAAATATTTCAAAGCTTCATGATATTTGTATTGAAAGACTGTTGGGCTATTCAGAGCCAAAGTTTCTTAACTTTCACAGAGAGTCTGACAATGCTGTGAGGGCTGGGGATGCACCTTAGTGGTAGAACATCTGTCTACCATACATAAGGCCATAGCTTTGATCCATACCAACAGTTTGGATAAAAGCTATGGACTCAGCTGGGCATGGTGTCTCGGGTCTATAATTCTAACTCTCAGAAAAAAATTGCATACAAAAATCTTTTTACATATAATTTCAGGATTTATCATGCTTAGATAATGAGGGTAATTTACCCAGAGTCAAAGCTTAAATGTGGCAGAACTGAAACTTGCCATGGACTGACCTAGTCAGGGGTCTCCTCCAGGGGAGAACAAGGACTCCGGTACTCAGGTTGGTAAGGATTCGGCAAGTGACGGACAGACACAACACACAGAGATGCTGCAAATTTACTTCAGTGAGAGCATCAGAGATACATACATACATACATACATACATACATACATACATACATGATTTAGGAACTAAGATTTGACACCATGCCAGGTTATATATCGTCATATCTGATGAGTGGTTACATGTTGACAACTTATCTTGAAACTAAAAGAACAGAGCAGGAAGTACCCTCTGAGTACCATCTGGCCTCCAGACAGTGGTTAATAGTTAATAGCCTCAGACCTGAGGTCAATTTTATTTTTAGAATCCTGTCAAGCTGACTCCTATGCAAAAATGTAGAAGTTTGTAAAGCTTAATATTTTTATGGCCAGTCAGGCCAATCTGGCTGTTTTTAAAGCCCCCTCTATCCATCTTTGGGGGGAGGTGAGCATCTGCCTTGTTAAACTAATTTGGTTCCTTGTTGTCAAAAAGCATCAAAGAGGCCTTGCTCTTTGATGTAATACACTTTCTCTCTGATGGGAGATGTCATTCTGTATGTTTCTCATACTGGTTACTGAATAAAGCACTGTTGGCCAATAGGAAAGTAGATAGGCAGGACTAGGAGACAAGGAGGAAAGAGGAAGGAGATAGGAGGGGTCAGCATGGAGAGACCGGGGAGACCAGACGCTTGCCTCACACCCCAGTAAGGAGACCACGTGGAAATACGCAGAAATGGGTTAATACTTAAGACAAAGCTAGCCGATAAGAAACAAGTAACCGGGCCAACAGCATTGTATCAAATACAGAGTCTCTGTGTATTATTTGGGGCTGGCGTGGCGGCGGGCGGAAAAACCGTACTCGTTACAAATGGCGCCCACGTGGCTACTAAGAACTTCCACTTAAAATTTAACAAAAGCTTAAAAAAGGGTTTTAGAAACAAAAGAACAGAGACAAGCAAGGTTTCTTGGTAGCAGCATTTTTCTCGGTTGAACTCTGCTTTGCGAGAGACAAGCAGATATTGCACGGCTCCTTTAAGAAAAGTTTCCTGACTCAGCATAAGCGGCAAAAAACTGCACTGCTTTTAAAAAACTCTGCTAACAATTTATTGGTGTGTATGAGAGATGGCAATGGCAGTGACCACATCTCCAATCCGGCAGCATGCAGACCAAGACAGTGAGCGCAGCTTTCAGTGCTGGCGGTAAAATAGCCACTGCCAACTTTTATAAACCGCGGCAGAAACAACAAAGACTTTCATTTTAACAATGTTGTTGTTTAACTGATAAAGACTCATGGCCAGAAAAAGATAAAGATTTACAGTAAAGACAGATTCACATTAAGAAAAAGCGCTAAACGTTTACAGTGTGTTTTAAAATATACGTAGACATGGAAAAATAAAATAAAATGGTTTTAAAGAGACAAAGAGAAACTGGGTGTGGTGGCACACACCTTTAATCTCAGAACTTGAGAGACAGAGGCAAGCAGAGCTCTTGTGATTTCAAAGTAAACCTGGTATGCAGAGTGAATTCCAGGACAGAAAAGAGTTACACAGTGAAACCCTGTCTCAAAAAATGAAAAAATTGAAGAAACGGAGTAATAATAAAGACACGTAAAGATGAAAAGCTCAGAGAGAATCTGGTTACTGTATGGTATTATATTGTCTTTGAATCGTTTGTATTTCTGAGTCTTTGTGGAGTTTTCCTGTTTATTGGAGGCACCCACTATCATTCTCTGAGTAAGTAATGCTTTCTACCATAAATCATAGTAGTAGGAATTCCTAGACTCTTTTTCCTAGCTCCTGGTGAACTCCCTGGGTCTTTTCCCTACTAGTCTCTGAACTTTTATTCTTTCACTATCCACCAAGACTTGGCCAGGATCTATTGTATTAATTATAGCCATAAAAGCCAAGAAAGATAAGGTACAGAACCCAAATCCACAGAATTTGATTGGTGCACTGGAACAAAGCATAGAGGCAGGATGCCAGAGACCTCTGGGAGACGAAGTTCCGTGGAACACATGCCTCTGATCCGAAAACATGGTTTTCACCATGTTACATAGACTCCACCAGAGTTGGTGTGGCAGAACCTGAACCCGTTTCCTGTGGAGAGCCAGTCTGACATAGGTCTCAAAGGTAACTGTTTTTATAAAACTCTGTTAGCAAGTTCAGAGCTGTGAGGTTCAAGTAGTGGTTTGCACTCTGCCTTAGAGAAGCAATTGCAGGTATACAGTTGTATGGGAGAATTACGATAAACCAATGAGGTAAAAGCTGTGAAGATTCCCTAACTAGATCAATAAAATCTCACTGACTACAGGAAGCCACAGACTGAAGACTCAAAGCCTCCTCACCTGCAGAGAAATTTAACCACCCACAGAAGCTATCAAGCCATCAGAGCCAGAGAAACAGGTGAAATGACTGATGTTTGGTAATACCTCCTAGTCATCGCTTGCAACAACCGAAGATTCGCATATATAGTTACACCTGCAAATGCTCTAAAACGCAGCTATCAGCTGAAAATAGCAATCCATCTATTACCTTGCCACACACCATTCATTCAATATTATAAATTTTTAAAATTAACTAACTTAAAGTATTTTATTAAAACAATTAATTTTTTAATTGATTAAAATAATTATGTATAATTGTTATTATTTTAACTTTTAACATTTTAATTATGCATACATGCATGTACACATGACTGCAACTACCGACAGAGACCTCAGGTATTGTGTCCCCTTGGTGCTAGAGTTAGAGGCAGTTATGCACCACGTGATATGTGTTTTAGGAACCAAACTTGGGCCCTCTGCAAAAGTAGTACTTACTCTTCCCTGCTCTCCCACCCTCCCAGTTTTAAGAGATAAAGTTTCTCTGTGTAACCCTGGTTGTCCTGGGACTCCAGGCTGGCCTTGAACTCACAGAGATCCTGCCTCTGCCTCCTAAGTGCTGTAATTAAAGACATGCGCTACTACTGCCTGGCTGCAGTATAAGCTCTGAATTTTAAAAAAATCTCTCCAGCTCCTCAACAAATGCCAATCTATAATTTCCACTCTGAGGTCTACGCTGAACTAAGTACTAAGAAGATTTTTGTCTCCAAAAATATCATAAATATCATGAGTAATAAAAACCAGGCAACTGGTGTTTTACTATGATAATCTGACCAAGGGGAAGATCATCTGCTGGCAGAACATCTTCAGCTCCCATGAGTCCAAACTAAAAACCCAAGACAACCAAGGGCAGCTCTGTATCTTTACAGCCCTACTGTGACCCACGTGTATCACATGATTTTCACATCTTTGCTCTCATAGGACTTGCCTTGCTTCTTACCTCTAGCACTTTCACCAAGTGTTTGTATCTGCCAATGCCATGAGTGGGCTTTGTCTTGTAGTGCCGCCTGTCCCTCAGCAGAACACCACCTAAGAGAAACAAGACAAACCCAGAGACAGACAGAGCATACAGATGGAGGTAGCTCTTGGATATTCCAGTTTTCCTTTCTCTCCTTTTAGCTCCTGAAATAGTTTCACCACCACCCGCCCCCACTACTCAGCTTTCTTTAGGAAATTCTCTCCTGAAAAAAGTCAATGGTGGTTAAGGGAACAAAATATATTTTAACGAGAGTCTCATTTCTTCTTGTTCCTCAACAAGCAACATTCTTTTGTCATTTTTGTTTCTTGGTTTGGTTGGTTTTGTTATTGTTGGTTTTTATTTTCTTGAGAGCAACTGCTCAGCAGGTAAGGATGCTGTTGCCAAGTCTGATGACTTAGTTTCAACTCCAGAACCCATGTGGTAGAAAGAATGACTTGTGAGAGCTGTCTTCTGTCCCCAGTATGTGTACACACCACAGACCACAAATCCTCATACACACACACATACCTCAGATCATAAATTAATAAACGTTATTTTTAAGACAGGGTCTCACTTTGTAGCCCAAGCTGTAACTCACTCTGTAGCCTAGGCTAGAACTCACTATATATGGTCCAAGCTGGCCTGAAACTCATAGTACTCTTCCTAGCTCAGCCTTGAAAGTGCTGAGCTCACAGGTATAAGCTACCATGCTCAGGCCTTTTGAGGTTTTCTTATGGAGAAAAGGAGGCAGGCATAAAAATAGACAGAAAAAAAAAAAAAAAAAAGAAAAGAAAGGATCAGGACTGTATATAAACTCTTAAAAAATGTGTAGACTGCTTAGCTGCTCACCACTTGCCTAATGCTCACACTCAAGTACGAGCCCAGCTACCACAAACAAATAAACAAAAAAGGTGATTTATTTGTGTTTATAGTTAGTATTTTGAATGAACATCCACCAAAAAAAAAAAAAAAAAAAAAAAGCTAGGTATATATGCCATTATTAAGAAAAAGAAGGAGGCTCTCTACAAGGACTTAGTGCCCATATCTTGCCTTCAAATACACACACACACACACACACACACACACACACACACACACACACACACACATTTTTGTTGGTTTCTCTAGTCTCTTTCGGTTGTCATTTTTATTTTTATCCAGAAATAAAAAGACAAGCTTCTGAGTAAGTCTGTGAGGGACTGTCTAGAGTAGGTGAATGAGGCAGCAATGTAGTCTCATTCCATGGCCTGGCATGGAGGGCTACACAAAAGAGATGCTCGCTGAGCACCAGCATCCCCTTTCTCTGCTTCCTGACTACGTGACCAGATGTGTCTTGTTCCTGCCCCACGCTTCCCCACCATGTCAGACTGTGTACCCTCCAACTGAAACAAAGCAGACCCTTCCTTACTTAAGTTGCTTCTTGTCAGGTATCTGCCTGGAGCACTGAAAAAATTAACTAATACAGGGAGCTCACAAAATGTGGAATGGGCCCCACCGAAAATATTACAGCAAAGCTGGGCCTTGTTAAGGGATTGGATCTCTTCATGAACAGCAATAAAGACATTATATATATGCTGTTTTTTTAAATGATTTTATTATTTTATGTGTATGTATATTTTGTATGCATGTATATATGTGCTCCACACACATGCAGTGCCTGCAAAGGGAAGAAGGCATCAGATTTCCCTGGAACTGGAGCTATAGATGGTTGTGAGCCAACACATAGATGTGCAGGAAACTGAACGCAGGTCCTCTGTAAGAGCAGCAAGTACTCTTAATTTTTGATCTATTGCTCCAGCCTCCTCAGTTATGTTTTTTTGTTGTTATTGTTTTATTTTGTTGTTGTTATTTTGTCTTTTGAGAAAGGGTTTCTCTGTAGCTGTGGAGGCTGTCCTGGAATTTGCTCTGAGGCTGGCCTCAAACTCAACAGAGATCCACCTGCCTCTGCCCCCTGAGTGCTGGGATTAAAGGTGTGTGCCACCACGGCCTGGCTCACTTTTTAGAAGTATTCAATACTAGCCAGATACTACACAGTCAGCACTGAATGTGACAGAAAAGGGTTTTGCTGTATTTTTCTAATGCTTGATGGCTTTTCACTACTTGATGATGACATTTCTTAAATAAGCATTTTAAGGACCTTGACTTTATAATCCAGGTCCAATTACTTTATCTCACCTCCTATTCTGTAAATTCTACTGGCCAGTCTACAGAAGTCTGGTAGTTGCCATGTCTTTAGTGCATTGTGGGGATGTCCCCCCTCATCTTGGTGACACCCTTCTGTAGCCCTAAACACACAAGACCCAGAGATCAGCTTCAGAGTTAGAGGTCTCACAAACCTGCCTGAATTACATAATAAAACACTACGTGTAAATTAAAATCCCAGATGTCAATCACCATGCTTAAGTATAGAGACACTCATTAACCCATCAGTGACTTCAAAAAGTAGACAGGAAACATATCTTTGAGATGATGATACAGCCCAAGTTGCAAGGGCTGCAAATGCTTGCCTTAGTCTCTCATCTGTGGGGATTCCTTGGCAAGGAGACATTCTTAAATTCAGTTTGGGACAATTCCTATAATTAGAGCTGCTGGTAATTAAAAAGCTGGCTCAAACTACTGTTAAATTAACCATTTCCCCCTTAAATGAAGGGTTTGGGTCAAACTGTCCGTGGTTAAACTGTTTAATTAGACAGTTGTTTTTATTGTAAAATGTGTGTAAGTTTGAAAGCCTCTTATTCCCAGTAAATTCAACTGGCTTCTTCCCCTCTACTCTGTGTCACTAAGTTGAATTTCTTGCTGTCTCACTAACACACGGCCTCCTGGGATGAAAGGCAACCCTTCCCTGATACAAAATCCCTTATTTCAGATGAAAAAACATTCAGTTGCCACAGCTGTAAGTTGTAAACCCACACGACTTCTCCCCTTTCCTCTGTCTGTGCCTCCACAACTGTCCTTCAGAACTCTTGTTTACTAATGGGAACCAAATCTGTCAGTCTAGGATAAGAGCAAACAACTCTATTTTAATTATTTCTCTTTAGAAATTGGAACAAGCATTTTCAGCAGAGTCATGTGGATAGAGAAAGGAGATGAAACTGGAATAGCACCAGCCAAGAATCTACTTACAGAATATTCTCTCTATTCAATAGACTTAAGTCCCCCAAGGACAAAGAAAATGCTAGCACCTGGCAAACAATATAAATTTGATGTATATTTAAAAAACAACAGAAAAAAATGGCTCTCCACATATTCTACCAAAGTGGTCTGCAACGACTTGTTCCTGGTAGCTGCCCAGCATTTTGTCAATGCTCCCCTCAACGCTTCTTAGTCTTGAATATGCCATATCCCTTTCTACTTTTTGCTCATGCTGTGGTCAGAGAACTCTGAGGTCCCTTCATTTACTTTCTTTTTATATATTTGCCTTGAACTACCATGTCCAAATAAATAAGAAAAAGATAGTGGCCATAAGCAGGCATTTCCTTGGACAGAGGCAGCTGTCACACTATGCATTCATATTTATTCTTTTCCTTATTCTTTTATCTCATTAGTTATGTGACAAACAGCTGTTATAGTACAAAGGTCCTTGTGTTCATAGACAGCACTAGGGAAACCAGGAATCTTAAACATGCAGAAAAAGATGTATAACCTTTTTTCTGACCAGAAGACTGGGAATGGAGGTGGCTAATAGCACAGATAACCTCTGAGCTATCTCTGTGACCAAGAGCACATCAGAGATCCTCCTTCTAGGCCCTTAAGAGAACACATGTAGCCTGTCTTTAGAACCCATCTTCATGGAAGAAATGACATGTACTTTGAGAAGAGTTTCAAAGTAATTATGTCTTATGTGCACATGTGTACTTTCCAAGTTGAACTGTACTTAAATATGCCTAAAACAAACTGCCCAGTGTCAGACTCTACAAGTTTGGACCAACACTGGCTACTGAGTCATGTTAAGCCAGAGTTCCTTCTTGCCTCTTGTGGATCATTACTCTGCCAACCCCGATGGCCACACAAATAGCTTTGAAATGATGATCGATAATGCAAACATGTCAAGTAATTCAGTTGACACAAACTAAAAATAATTGAGTTAATGAAATCGAATGGACACTCATTTTGGATGAAAGACTGAAAAAGCCCTAGACTGGTTGAGTATGTACTTGAGTATGTACTTGAAAAACAGGTTTGAGACAGTAGCAGTGCTATAATAATCAGAGAAGCAGCTGTAAAAACAAAAACAAACAAACAAAAACAAAAAGAACAAAAAACCAAACTGTGTTTCCAAACCTCACTGGATTTCCAAACCTCACTACAGTTTATAATAGAATTATCCTCATTTTTAAATTGAGGAAAGCAAGCTCCAGAGACATAGTCAAAGGTCATAAAATGTGCCAGACATGGGGCATGTCTTTAATCCTAGCATCTGTAAACCTGAGAGAGGAGAATCTTTAATCTAGATGTCACAGTAAGGCTGTCTCAAAATAATAAACAAGCAAGTTAACGGGTGGTGGTGGCTTAAGCCTTTGATCCCAACACTTAGGAGGCAGAGGCAAGTGAATCTTTGCCTTCAAGGCCAGCCTGGTCCTCAGAGGGAGTTCCAGAACAGCCAGAGTAACACAGAGAAACCTTCTTTCAAAACAAAAACAAAACAACAACAATAACAACAACAGAAAACAAGTAATTAATCATGAAAGAAGGAAATGGTAGAATTGGAATCCTAACTCACTACAGGGCTTTTGCTGTAACAACTTCATATTCTTGTTCTAGCCAATGAAGGAAGGATTTTACACACACACACACACACACACACACACACACACACACACACACACACACACACACACACCCCACCCTTGTAAAAGATACATTTGACAATCTAGACAAAATCATTGTAGAGTGCTAGAGGGCCATTTCCAGAAAGCAGACTATACCAAGATATAAGCATTTACCTGCAGAACAAATCGGATTCTCTCCCAAAATTCTGAATCTAAAAAGAGAGAGAAAAGTATGCTGAATATAATTAGATATTCACATTTACTTGCAAAATTACTATAGCCTTTATGCTCTATATTAGGATAGGCTAACAGTAGATACTTCCTTACTCTCTCCTTCCACAAACACTATTAAGCACCTGTTATATACCAGTTAAAGTGGTCTTGAGGAAGTAAACTAAGTACAGTATCTCTTATGAGGTCTACTTGGGAATGGTAAATATAAACACTGATCCAGAATAGAAACATGTACAAGAGTCAAAAGAAGTGTGGTCTCTTCAACCAGGAAGGTGGAAACAGGTGAATGGAACTGTTTAAACTGAATTGTTTAGTCAGGAACTAGAGGATAGAGAAATGGCTCAGAAGTAAAGAGAACTTGCTACTCTTATAAAGGACCCAGGTTCCGTTCCCAGCACACACATAGCAAACTGTCATAGCTTCAGTTCCAGGAAATCCAGTGCCCTCTTCTGGACTCTCTGGGAAACAGGCATGCACATGGTACACATATATACATGTAGGCAACTACTCATACACATAGAATTTTTTTTTTTTCCGTTTTTCGAGACAGGGTTTCTCTGTAGCTTTGAAGACTGTCCTGGAACTCCCTTCATAGACCAGGCTGGTCTCGAACTCACAGAGATCCTCCTGCCTCTGCCTCCTGAGTGCTGGACTAAAGGTATATGCCACCACCGCCCAGCCACATAGGATATTTTTTAAAAATTCTTTCTCTGGGGGCTGGAGAGAAGGCATCAGTGGTTAAGAGCACTGACTAATCTTCCACAGGACCTGGGTTCAATCCCCAGCACCTACACTGAAGCTAACAATTGTCTCATGCCCTCTATATGCTGGCAAAACACGCATAACAAAAAGTAAAAAATAAATAAATCTCAAAAAGATTTTTCTCTTCTAATCCCAGATGCTTCGGTGGGAGCATGCAGACATAGCCAAGTTCAAGAACCACACCACACATCCAATACTGAAAATGGCACAGGAATGGCATCAAGAAACCTCAGTCACAGCTGGGAGTGGGGGTGGAGTGGGGATGGCGCATACTTTAATCCCAGCCTGGTCTACAGAGCTAGTTCCAGGACAGCCAGGGAGGGAGGGAGGGAGAGAGGGAAAAAAAAAAAAAAAACCCAGAAAGATATGAATCTCTTAAAAAGAGGTCAACCTGTTGTGGAATATTCCTTTACACTGTATGAAGATGTGTCACTATGATTGGTTTAATAAAAAGCTAACCAGCCAATAGCCAGGATTTTGGGGGCAGAGAGAATGCTGGGAAGAAGGCTGAGTTGCCAGCCAGCCACGGAGGAAGCAGGAATAACATGGATTATACAGAGTAAAGGTAATAAAGCCAAGGGGCAGCACATAAATTAATAGAAATGGGTTAGTTTAAATTATAAGAGCTACTTAGAAACAAACCTAAGATATCAGCTGAGCTTTTATAGTTAATAATTAGCCTCTGTGTCATTATTGTAGAGCCAGCAGTTCCAGTGAAAAGGTCTGACTACACTGACCCTAAGTTCCTGACAAACATGCTCTTTGCCAAGAAACACAACAAGAAAGTCAGAAAAGGATGCAGGCAAACAATGTGAAGGCAATGAGTCCACGTGCAGAGGCCATTAAAGACCCTGTGAAACCTAAGGTCCAAACTGCCCAAGGTCCTCAGCTGTCTTACGTTCATTGCTCGCCCTAAGCATGGGAAGCAGATTCAAAACTACATGGACAAGGGTGGCAGGTTCTGCCAACCAAAGTCCAGGGTTCAAACTAAGGCAGAGGCCGTAGCTCTAGCTTAGGTTCAGGCTTCAGCTCCAGCTCAGGCTCCCAAAGGTGTCCAAGTCCCTTTAAAGGCCCACAGACAAGGCTTCTGTCTGCCACTGTGAAGACAAGATGGACTGGAATGACATACCTACACAATATTTACAGACAGCCAGTGCCCTGTGTTGTTTTTACAAATAAACTGTAGACAAGGTCTGTTTAAAAAAAAAAAAAAAAAAAAAAAAAAAACTTAATAAAAGTGACTATGGGCTGGGGTGTAGCTCAATAGTAGAGGGATTGCCTAGCATACTCAAAGCCCTGGGTTCGACCTCCTAATACTACAAAACACAAGACAAGGAGGAGAAGAGCAAACAGGAAAGGAAGGGAACTGATCTCAATTACTTAGCATGGCAGGAATTCAGGCTGAAGTATGGAAACAGAGAGCAACAGGATATGAGTAGAACTTAAGAGGGAGATAAGAGGACAGGGAGAAATATTCAGGCTGTAGAGGTGTTCAGGAGCCAGGTCATGAAGACTCTGTAAGCTGTACTGTTTGTTTGTACCCTGTGTAGACAAGGGAACACTCCTGGAAGAGTTAAAACAGGAGTGAAACCATCAAGCCTGAGTTTTTAAAACTCAGCAACGGTAGGAGATGAGACGGGAAGACATGAGACCGACGCGGGTGAATGGTGAGATGAACACAGCCTTGCAGTACTAGAGAAGACTGGGAAGATGGAAACAAGGGGACAGTAAGGAGAGATAGGCTGCACCGGGAATCAGGAGAACAGGACAAGCAGATGGCTCTGGTCCAGCTGACTAGGTAACTGGAGAATTCTGAGAACTTGAAACTGAACTGTGGTACAGGCTTGAAGAAAGCAAATCTGTGATGTAATGCTGACTAAACCATTTCTAAACTGTGACATTAAGTAAGATGTTTAATGTCACTGTAATTCAGTTATTTCATCTTTTAAAAAATAGGTATTCTCATGGAACTGAAATGTTCTCTTTAACTGAGTCAATTTTCTTTTCTTTTTTCTTTTTCTTTTCTTTCTTTCTTTTTTTTTTTTTTTTTTTTTTTTTTTTGAGATAGGGTTTCTCTGTGTAGCTTTGGAGCCTGTCCTGGAACTCACTCTGTAGACCTCAAACTCACAGAGATCTGCTTACTTCTGCCTCCCAAGTGCTGGGGTTAAAAGCATATGCTACCAATGCTTGGCTGGCATTTATATTTGTTCTATAATATTTTTGTGAAGGTTAGAGATAAGATGTAAAATGCCTTGGTATCATTGCAGATGTTTACCAAGTAGATAAATAATAATGAAAAAAATATATTGAAATGGAGAGTAAAAAGAAAAAGGCTTCAATACATGTTATTTTAAAAACCTAATGAAGGGAGGGAGGGAGAGGGAACTGGGAGCGATATGTAAAATAAAAAAAAAAGAATATATATATACGTACAAAAACCTAATGAATTTGAAACCTAATTGTAATTTATATAAGCTATATCATCTTAAAGCAATAGATTTCACTCTCTTTAGATTTCAGTTATTAAGTGTTGTAGGCCATGAGGATTGTAGAATTTATTTTGAGTAAGATGGTATAATAGTCTTCATTACCAACTTGAGAGGATTTAGAACTACCTAGGAGACACACCTCTGGGAATGTCAAGGACATTGTTCCCAGAGAAGTTTAGACTCAGAGAAAGAGAGACCTTGAATGTGGGCAGCACCATCCCATGGGCTGGGGTCCCAGGTTGAATAAAAAGAAGAAAAAGAGTGAGGCACAAGCTTTCACCTCTCCACTCTCTGACTGTGTATGCAGTACTCCTGTTTAAGGCCACACCTTCTCCACCACACTCAATCATACACTCAGACTAGAAGCCAATTCTTATTTGATAATGATGCTAAGGCCTCAGTTAATACAGATAGTTTCCCACTTTAGAATTTTGAGCAGAATCACTCGAATTTCAATATAAAGGGGGAAAAAGTAAACACATAGAGATGAGGAGCTGATTCCTCAGAGTTTAGCAAAACTGGAAGCATGATGCTAAAAACTCGAGGTAAGAAATGGTTACTTATATGCTGTATATGCAACTGTGAAGCCAATAGGCTCTATTGATAAACAGTGGAATAAGAGAAATAAGAGTATTGAGGGTAACTCCAAGGTTTTGTGCAATGAGATGAATGGAACTGACTTTTTCTGAAAATGGTGAAGGAGCAACATGGCTGGGAACTAAAAATTGAAATGCTTTGCAGGCATAGTGAACATGAAAGCAACGTCCATGAATCTACTCTATTTATCATTAATACACTTACCTTAAGAGAGAAAAGGCTTGCTTAGAAACGGTATCTTTCCACAGGCCCAGCACCTACAAGACAACAGTCATGTGAGGACCTTAACCTTTCAGAACGCCAAGCACCTCTTCTCACCAGGAAAACACAATATACAAACCAAAATGTACCAAAGGGTTCTTACCTAGCAAACACCTATCATGAAAGCAAACCACAGTCCTGTTTTCTTACTCTGACCATTACAGAAAATGCTTAAAAAACCAGAACCCCTCTCCCACAATTTTTCATCCCATTTCCCCTTTCCAACTTGATACATTTTATACATCTGCTATTCACCGTGTAGCAAGAGGGGCTTTCTTAAATATTCTTTAATTTTCAAACACTGCAATGTAATTTTTGGCAACTAAAGCCCAGAGAAGTTTTATTTTTTTAAAGTTACAGCTAAAAAAAGACTGTATCACTCCAAAGGCTGTGCCTCTCTTACGGCACACTATCTCTCTCAATAGCAACAGTAATAATCATACTACCACATGTGAGAGAACAATACTAATGTGAGGAGGCAACTGATATTTTAATCTCACTCTGCCTTGCTAGCATTCATCTGAAAGATCAGTGTACTATTTTACTAAGGAAGAATATGGCACATAGAAGTTCTTTTTATAAATTAGATAATAAATTCTAAATGTAATACCTCTTGTTTCTTTTACATTTACTCCTTAGCTGTCATCCCACCCCACTCCTACCCTGGCAATAGGTAATCTACTTCCTGCTCATCATGGGTAATAATTTCAATTCTTTTGACATGTATATGTAAAAAGATTATGCAAAACACAAAAATCTGAGAAACTGTCCCAGTCAAGACTAGTCTAAGGAAATATGATGACTAAATAGAATATAAAATGGGGGTGGATCTTGGAACAGAAAAAGAAATTAGATAAGAACCCTAATAAAGTATGGTTTTATGTTAATAGGACATCAACACTAGTTTATTAATCATAGAAATTATACTATTAATATAATTTTCCATGTATTTATTTATTTAAAGTGGGAGAGTGCATGTGAAGGTCAGAGGACAACTTGAGGAAATCAGTTCTCTATTTCCACCAGATGAGCCCCAGGAATCAAACTCAGGTTGGCAACCTTGACAGCGAGTTCCTTTAGCTGCTGAGCCATCTCACTGGCCCTAAAATGTTAACAGAGAATAGTGGGGTTTATGTGAACTTTTCATGCTGTTAACACCTTTTTTGTGGGAGGGGGGAGTAAATCTAAGTCACTTGTTTGTTTGTTGCTATTGTTAAGGTGCTAGAAAACAAACTCAGGCCTTTGTACCCTTTCCAGGAAACAAAGTTTCTTTTTAAAAAGCCTCCTAAGTGCCAAATACTGTATTGCATATTAAAAGGAATATAAAAACAAAATGTAACTAACACAATAAATTTTAAAGGCATTATATTAAGTTAAACAAGCAAGCAAGTCACAAAAGACTGAATACTGTATGGTAGAATCCCTTTCTATGAAATATTGAGAGTGGGCAAGTCTACAGGGAAAGGAAGTAGATTACCTATTGCCAGGGTAGGAGTGGGTTGGGGATGACAGCTAAGGAGTAAATGTAATAGAAACAAGAGGTATTACATGATGAAGTAAAACTATATGCCATTAAAAGCAAGCATGCCTGGCAGGACTTCCTGGGAAGAGGGCTGGAAATCCTGAGCTTTTGCAGCTTACAGATTTTCCTAAAGATCTGTTCAAAAGCAAGAACCAATTCCTGAGACAAGTGCTTAAAGGCACTGACAGACAAAAGGTTTACATCTACTTCAGTTTACACACAGTACTTAAGACTACTTCACTGAGATGCGTTATATCATCCAATAACCTCTATGCTGAGCCATCCTAGGGCCCAGGAACCTAAGAACCTGTTCCTCTCCGGTACAATGTACACAATCAAGTGTGAGTTGAAGAAAATTTAGAAAGAAATGAATAAATGGTATTCTTTGCAGCCATATATCTATTTGCATCCATATCTATTTTGTTTTATTCCAATCCTGTGTCTAAATTGCAACACTATTTTATAGTGCAGAAAACTGATGCTAAATTTACCTCAAAGTCACATAGTAACTCCCCAAAGCTAGCATAGGATTTGGGGTTCTCTGTCTCTGAAGTCCATAATTTCTCCGTTACATCTCCTCTCCCAAATGAAGAGATGGTACTTAATCATCAGAGGGAGAGCACCATGGGTAAAAGTGTTTGTCAGGCAAACCTGATAACCTGAGTCTGACTTCTGGAACTCCTAGTGGAAGGAGCAATCCAACTCCTGAAAGTTGTCCTCTGACCTCCTCATGCCCACTGTGGCATGTACACCTGTACTCTGTGGTGAGTATGTGATACACATACACACTCATAATGCTTAAATTTTTTTTTTTAAATGGGGAGGTAATCACATTTAGAAAAAGTTTCCCAAGGAATGTGAAGCCATAAAAGTTATGAAGGATGTAAAGAGAAAGAAAAAGGGCAAAGAACAAAGCAGATCTTTAAAAGTATAATTACATAACCAGGCAGCGGAGGCACATGCCTTTAATCCCAGCACTCAAGAGGCAGAGGTAGGCAGATCTCTGTGAGTTCAAGGCCAACCTGGTCTACAAAGTGAGTGCCAGGACAGGCTCCAAAGCTACACAGAGAAACTCTGTCTCAAAAAACCAAAATAAATAAATAGGTATAATTACATCTTATTCTATTACAAAAGACTATAGAGGGTGCTGGAGAGATGGCTCATCAGCTAAAAGCATTTGTCACTCCTGCAGAGGACTCAGGTTTGATTCCCAGCACCCACATACCTCAGTTCCAGGAGCTCTCATGGCCTCTTCTGACCTTCATAGGTAGCCAGGCACACATGTAGTGAACATACATACATGGAAGCAAAACACTCATACATAAAATTAAAAATGAATAAATCTAATATGGTAGTTTGAATATAATTGGCCCCCACTGGCATTATTAGGTGGTGTGGCTTTGTTGGAGTGGGTATGACCTTGTTGGAGGACATGTGTCACTGTAGGAGCGAGCTTTGAGGTTTCCTATGCTCAGGATACCACCCAGTGTCTCAGTCAACTAACTTACTGTTCCATGTAAGATGTAGGACTCTCAGCTTCAGCATCGTATCTGCCCGCACGCTGCCATGATGATCTTGGACTGAACCTCTAAAACTGTGAGTCACCCTCAATTAAATGTTTTCTTTATTAAAAAAAAAAAAAAGACTTACTGTGGTCATGGTGTCTCTTCACAGCAATAAAAATCCTAACTAAGACACTAAGTTTAAAAGTTTTTAAAACCATGTAAAGTGTGTGTATAATATGCTTACCATAATACTGGCCAGAGTAGGGAACTAAGAGTTTTTGGAGAGCTCAAGTTGGCCCCCCTGTCATTGGCCACATACCTCAAAGTTACAGCAGACAATGCAAAGTTCCCTGCTGACCCAAGATCCATTCACATGGCAGAATAGAACAGAAATCAGAGTGAACAGAATACATTTTAAATAGGTCACTTCAAATAGAGGAGGCTCTCGATGGAAAGAAAGATCTAGATGAGACTGCTTTCTCTTTATTTTAATTGTTCAGAATCCTGAGTCTCTACAATAGCTAAGGATTTAATTATCTAAAAGTCAGACTTAAATAGTTGACAACTTTTTGGAAGACATTCAAATTGTGAGCTACTCAACTCTGGGAAATGTGCTTTCTTTTTCCTGCAATGCCTCGCATTATTTATCAGGACAAAAGTAATCTATTTTGAGACAGAATCTACAAATACCCCCATGCCCGCTACTCCCCACCCAGCACAATCAGCAGATGAACAGCTCTCGGCTCTGCAAATGGAAGAGGAGGGCAGTGACACCAGCAAATGAATGAATGAGGACACAGCTGCTACAGTGGGTTACAAAAATACTTGTCCATGAGCTCTGGATCCAGCAACCAAGAAGTGCATAGTTACCAAAGAAACAGTCACAAGGAAAAAGCCATTACAGTGTATGAATACTTTCAATGATAGTCTGCAGTGGTTCAGGGCCCTGGGGGAACAAATGAGAGCTGTTTTATGTTCATTTATTTTATTTTGTTTTATTTTATTTTTGAGACAGGATCTCTCTACATAGTTCTGGCTGTCCTAGAACTCACTAGGTTGACCAAGGTGGCCTCAAACTCACAGAAATTTGCCTGCCTCTGCCTCCAAGTTTAAAGGTATGGGCTACTATGCCCAGCTGAGAGCTGTTATAAAAAATTTAAGAACGTTTGTATATCACGTTAAAGGGCCATTGACTGAGTGCCTCTTCTGTGCCAAGCACTCCACATGTTCTAGTCTTTATTCCAGCTCTCTGAGACCCTATTAAGGCACCTGCTCAGGCTGGTGAGATGACTCATCAGGTAAAGATAATTGCTGCTGAGCCTGATGGCCTAACAGTTTGATCCCTAGGACCTACTGAGAGTGCTACATCTTGGCAGCAACAAGAAGTTGACTGACTGTCAGGGAAGTTTGAGAGAGACCTCAAAGCCCACCCCAACAGTGACACACTTTCTCCAACAAGGCCACATCTCCTAATAGAGCTACTCCCTTTGGAAACCATTTTCTTTCAATCACCACAGCCATCCATATGCCTAACATCCTCTCCTTTAATCCTCATAAATGTTCTGTGAGGTGAATTCTTACCCTCATTCATGGAGAATAAAAACATATATGTTATATACTATGTAAGTATATATCATACTTATTGAGGAGTGAATTAAACCATCTAATGTAAATCCAGGCATGGTGATGAATGCCCTTAATACTAGTACTGAGCGGATCTCTGAGTTTAAGGTCAGCCTGATCTATGTAGAGAATTTTCCAGGACATCTGGTGTTACATAGTGAGATTCTGTCTCAAAAAGAAAATGTCTAATGTTGACAGTTAACCAGTAAGGGTGTTCTAGGTGACCCCACAATTTGGGCTCTTCTATCTAGAACACTGACCCTCAACCTATGGGTCACGACCCCTTGGGGATTGAATGACGATTTCATAGGGGTCACATATCAGATATCCTGCATATCAGATATTT